CACACACACACACACACACACACACACACACACACACACACACACACTGGTTCTTCCCTAAGTTACAGTGACGACTGTGAAATTTAGCACATATAACTTAGTTCAGCACTCTTCTGGAAATAGAGGCAATGTTTTCATGTGGTCCTACAATACTACAAAGGCTGTAGTTTTAAAGTAAAATTACGTGTGATACCCAGTCTCCAAAATGACCCCCTCTTATTCCCATTTCCTGGTATGCCATATCTTTGTACGATTATACCCTCCTCATATGTAAATGTCCTCCCACACCGTCCAAGAGTTGGTCTATGTGACGAACGCTTACGACAAAACAGTAATACTCTTCCACCTAAAAGGAAAGGAGGCCTTCCAAACAGCACATGAGTGAGCTTGGAAACAGGCATGCCTGCCCTGCTGAGCTGTGAGACCACTGCAATCCTGGATAACAGCAGAGCAGAAAAGGCAGCTAAGCCACTCCCAGATGCTCAGCCCCAAAAAACAGATAACTACTGTTTTAAACTGCTACATTTTAAGGTAATTTGCCAACAAAATAACACGTAATTAATAAACCACCTAGATTCTAAAATATTCATTCAATATTTTTCCCATCTTAAAGAAACATTTAAGAAAAACTATAACTAATAAAGAGGTCACAAATAATTATCTCTTCAGTTCTATTATATAAGAATTATTTTACTAGAAGCTGTAGCAGAAAGCCACCTTTAGTGGTCTTGTTTAAAACTCTACTTTATTTGAGGTGTTTAAGCCTCTACCTCCTTTCCACCAACCCTCCAACCTTAAGTAGGAGAGAGAAAATATTAGTGGGGAGAAAGGACTCAGACCCCTTTACTTCTCCCAGCTGTTTAGGGTCAAAGGGTTCTTTTAGGGCTCTATACAGATCTCCATCAACCACAGACGCAGATAGCAATCTCCTCCACGTCACTACACCACGAAGCGCTTCTCTCCATCTGTCTGCGCCAAACAGCCACCATCTCTGGTCTCTGGTCTCTCCAAACTACTCCACACCAAACGCCAACACCAAATGCCATACCACCTCCTTCTCTTTCTCAGCCTCTTATATATACTCTCAAGAGTCCTAGACCATGCCCCTTCCCATGCCAAATGTGGAAGGCCATTACCAGCTGGCAAAAGCCACACTCCACACAAGACAGTTAACAGGTGTGGACAAGCTATAGCCCAACTAAAATCCCACAGCTGGGATTAAAACAAAAGCATACTTATATAACATACAAAGAAACCAAAATTTCCATTACAAGAAGCTAAAAATGTTGGGGGGGGGACCTTCAAAGCATTACTAAACTATCAAAATCTGAAACCACCTACCTTTGCAGAAGTCCCTCGCAGGTGAGTTCCCGGCAAAGATGAACTCTACTGCTGGTGAGAAGCAACCTTTCCTCAGTGTTAAAATAGTGTGGGAAACGGGATTCTGCTATCTCGATCAGTCTATAGAGAGAAGGAGAAGAACACGAGAAAACAGTGAGTACCGAAAGGCACATTGCTGAGTCTCTGCACGTTCTACAGGGGAAACTCCTAAGACTCTTCTGTACATCAGGTGTAGACAAAAGGCTGAAAACACAAGTCTGGAATACACACGTCTTCTGTGTGTATTAGCAGAGGTCAGCTGTCAGAACAGAAGCTAGCAAGGGTTCTCGGTCTCAGCAAATTTACAATGTCCCCAAGATTTCATTTCTGGAAATAATGTTTCCACATAACATTTTTACATAACAGCTATTTTAACATATTCGAAATTAGAAAAAGCTTCCAGTTGCCTGAATGAACAAAGTCTATTTCAATGAACATATCCTAATAAGTTGTCATGTCTCATTCCAGAAAACTACACTTCCTCGATTAAAACTTAATGTTATCTATTAGTTCCCTGGTGAACAGGAATTTATTTAAACAAATTAATGCCATCCAGCTAACATCTTGATAAACAAAAAGTTATTTTCTAAATACTGAATTCAGACCTCTCAAGGATAAATCTAATAATTCGGGGTGGGTCAAGAGAAGAAGAGTGATAAACTGAAACAAATGACATCATCATTTGGCAGAACGAGGCATAAAGGGAACTGCTAGAAATCACAGATGTACAGAATTTAAAACTCAGAGTTCTTTGAGTGTAACTGTATCCCAGCTAACGGGACATTTGTCAGCCCTGCTTAGCCATTCAGGAGGATCTGGAGAAGAAACCATACACGCTCAGTCATCCCATATGCTGCATTCAAGTGAGACACAGAAGTACAAAAAGCAGTGTCTCCATCTCCAGAAGTTGGAAGGTTCTGAGAAAAGGCGGAGAACTTTAAACAGACAAACAAAACAAACCTCTAAATATGCTATAATCAGAAGCAATGAAGGGGCCTAAAACAGGGAAATAAAGACAGTCAACAACTTTTTAGGTGCACTTTCTGTAAACTGAAAAGAAAAAGATATCATTTGGCTCAACAAGAAGAGATAAAAATGCTTCAAGAGAAAAATTAGTATTTAAAGAGGTATTTGAGTGAAGAGCACTCGAGAAGCATAGAGACGAAAGGAAAAAGAACAGGAAGTGAGAAAAGCAAAGAAAAAATGACACAGCATTCGCCATGGCAGCCGGGCAAACTGGGAAGGTTTAGTAGAAACATGTAATTGTTATCATTCTTATGCAACTGTGCAATGAGTTTAGCACTCAGTGGAGAAGACAGCCGGAGCTTTAGCACTTGGAAGACAGCAGTTTTCAATAGGATGGGTAGAGCCGCATGGATCACAAACCTGAGGATTTGTCAAAGTCTGGATGGCCTGCTGTTAGGAACCAGATGGAGAGCACCTAGCTCACTGGTGACAATGCAACATCAGGCTGGCTTTCAACCAATGGCTTGTATGGGAAAAGGTTCTGAGAGTCCTTGCTGCTGTCCTGTTACATTAAGCCTGCCCCTGAGGAATGATAGTCTGTGTACGATAGGAGCTACTGTTGCTCACATTTGCCATGCTAAATAACTACACTGAATACTCAGCAACAGACCAGTCAATATGTTACAATTTTCTATAGGTTTTTCCAACTGATCTTTATTTTAGGAAACTTTTTTTTTTTCATGTAGTGGTATTCCTTAATTTTATCAGTATTCTTTTTTTAACTAATTTAACTAATTTTTTTCACAATTTATTCATTATATATCCTGAATGAAGCCCCCTCCCTCAACTCTTCCCAGTCCCACCCATTGTCCCTCTTTCCCCCTATACTCTTCCCCTAGTCCACTGAAAGGGGGAGTTCTCCTCCTTTGCCATCTGCCCATAGCTTGTCAAGTCTCAGCAGAACTATCTGGATCCTCTTCCTCTGTGGCCTGGTATGGACAAATCGACAGGGGCAAGTGATCAAAGAGCAGTCAACCAAGTTCATGACAGAGACAGCCACTGTTCCCCTTACATGGGGATCCACATGGAGACTGAGCTGCCAATCAGCTACATCTGAGCAGGGGGTCTAGGTCCTCTCCATGCATGGTCCTTGGTTGATGCATCAGTCTCTGCAGGAACCCCTGGGCTCAGATATTTTTTTTTAGTTTTGTTGGTCTCCTTGTGGAGAGCCTATCCTCCATGTCCCTCTATCCCCACCCCCCTCTTCTTCCTTAAGATTTCCTGTGCTCTACGGAGGATGCTTAAATCTCATTCAGAATGGCAAGCAGGATAGACACCAGAAGCAGTGGAAGAGAGGAAACAGGATGGGGGCCTCCTATAGAGGGTCCTCTGAAAGGCTCCACCCTACAGGGGATCAAAGCAGATGCTGAGACTCACAGCCATCCTTTAGGAAACTTTTTAAAAATATAAATCAAAGCTAAATATCAGCAAAGATTTCCACATGCCTGGAATTGATCCCAGTAAGTCTCCCAGTAATACCCTATGTCAACCTTCCTCACAAGACCTTGTTCTTCAGAGCAAACAACAGAAAACCTAGCTTTTCTTCCAACGTTATCACATAAAATTTGAAAACAGTGCCACCTACTGGATACCTTTTTATAAAAAGCATTCCTTTGAAAAGCTGCATTTAAAATTCACTCATTCAAGATTTACTGAGGTTCTAGGTTATGTGGCCCATGGTAGCTCAGTAACCAATTGGTTTCCCATAGTAAGGGGAACAGGGACTATTTCTGACAGCAACTCAATGGCAGGCGCTTTGATCTCCCCATCCCCCAAGGGAGGAGCAGTCCTGCTAGGCTACAGAGGAGGACTTTGCAGCCAGTCCTGAAGATACCTGATAAAACAGGGTCAGATGAAAGGGGAGGAGGTCCTCCCCTATCAGTGGACTTGGAAAGGGGCAGGGGGGAGATGAGGGAGGGAGGGAGGGATTAGGAGGGAATGAGGGAGCGGGATACAGCTGGGATACAGAGTTAATAAAATGTAACTAATAAATAGATAAGATTTACTGCGGGCCTACACCATGTGCCAGGCACCACTGTGAATACTGAGCATAAGCATTACAACATCCCCCCAAAAGGAAATGGGGAGCAGAGGGGAGGAAGAAAGCTACATTCTCTGTGTGCTGGTTAGATTTTTATCCACTTGCCACAAACTGTAATCATCTGAGAGGAGGAAACTTTGATTCAAAAAATGTCTCTATAAGATTGGGCAAGCCTGTGAAGCATTTTCTTAATTGGCAATTGATGGGGGAGACCCAGTCCACTGTGGGTGGTGCCATCCCTGGGCTGCTGATCCTGGATTCTATCAGAAAGCAGGCCGAGTAAGTTATAAGGAGCAAGCCAGTAAGCAGCACCCCTCCATGGCCTCTGCATCAGCTCCCGCATCCAGGTTCTTGCTGTTTGAGTTCTTGCCCTGATTTCCTTTGATGATGAACAGTATTGTTGAGATGTAAGCCCAATAAACTCTTTCCTCACCCCGCAACACCACTTTTTGTTGGTCATGTGTCTCATCACAGCGATAGAAACCCTAAGACATTCCAGAAGGCGGTAAAAGCAAACAAACACATCAGAGGCCAGCTACAGTGCTCTAAAGAAAACTGAAGAAGGATGAGGGAACAGAAGTGTGAAAGCAAGTGGTATTTTATGCAGAAAAGTGGTATTTTGTCCAGAAAACTTCACTGACCAGGTGACATCTGAGCAAAGGCTTAAAGGAAATGAGTAAGTTAACAGTGTGCTATTGGATAAAAGGAGGGAACTGCAGAGAAAGGCCCTCACATCACTGGCAGAAGAGAAAGGATAACGTAGCTGGAACATAGGGAGCAGGAGGAAGGTTAAGGAGGGGGGGGCAGATAGCTAGCTAGAGATCAATGTCCCCTAAGACCTCCAGTTCTATGGAAGTCTGTTTGGATTTCACTAGGAAAACTGAGAAATCTGCTATTAGAATACAAGCAGATTTCCCTTTTTGACAGTCCATTGCCTTAACCATTCAGCCACCACATCCCACCTGCGTTTCTTTAAAAATAAAAAGTAAAATAAAATAAGACTTCTCTGTGGAATTCGCTGTGCTAGAAAGCACTTGCTGCTCTTTCAGAAGATGGAATTCATTTCCCAGCACTCACATGGTGACTCAAAACCATCCTTAACTCCAGATCTAGGGGGCCTGCAGCCCTCTTCTGGCCTCCATAGCACCAGGCACACTCATTGCTCATACGTACATACATGCAGGCAAAACATCCATTCATATAACATATAAAATAATAAATAAATCTTTTTTTAAAGTCTGCTCAATAGTCTGTAGAGACAGTTCAGCAGGTAGGATAGCTTGATAGCTGCCAGCCTAGCTCCAAGCTCAGTGAGAAACTGTCTCAAAGAAGTAAAGGAAAGAATGACAGATCAGGATACCCAACATCCTCCTCTGTCCTTCAGACATGGGCACACACTCCTGCGCATGCATACACACACACACACACAAATAGACAGAGAGACAGAGACAGAAAGAGAGACAGAGACAGACGGACAGAGAGATTGCTCTAGATGTCAAATGAAGAAAAGGCTACAGAATGGGAGACAGGGCAAGGGTGAAAACAAGATGAGTTAGTATTTGTAGTCCACACAAGAAGTGATGGTGACCTAACCTAGGAAAATAATACCTCAGATAATTAGAAGTATCTAGATTTAAAGTATAATTCTGGAAGAATTCGATTCATTGGGTGAATATCTAGAAAAAGAGTGATTCAATCAGGATTTTTTAGTTATTGGTGTTCTTCCTGTGTTCTATTTTTTTGGGGGAAGTATAAGACTCATCTTCAGACACATCAAGTTATCTGCATATATAAACATAACTATAACATGTTATTAATTCAAGTGATAAATGTGTATTAATCTGGAGGTTGTGGAAAAGCTCAGAACATGAACTCATGACCCTTCTGCCAATCAAATTTGTTAAATAATAATAATGATTTGTTAAAATCATGAGATTGGCTATCAGGGACTGGGGACAGATAGAGGAGGAACAAGACCCTAAAAGTGAGTTCTGGGATTTTCCAAGGCTTAAAA